GGGCTTCATGTAAATATATAACACTTGTTTTCAGTTACAGTAGAATTTGATTTTGGAAACAGAGTAAAGTTAGCAAGTGAAATAGCAGGCCTTGGCAATTGTTCAAGAAAAGCTATAGTGCAATCAGTAGAAAGGAACTGAAAAAGGGACAAATGACACAGGAAGCCAAAACCATTAGCTTTCTGGTTCCCATCATGAATGATAGTGTATATTATTTAATAACATGGCTAAAAAAGAGATGTCTATATTAGGAGCAGGTAATATTTGGTTGGCCATACGTCAGTAGACTTCTGTTGTGATACAGAAAAAGTATCACTAGTATTGTAGGATTTCCAGCTTCCTGAAATCTTTATCAGCAGCTATCCCTCTGTATCCTACCATATGCAGCAGCACAAAGTAGTAAGTCACCTTTGATAAGCAATCCCTTGTCTTAACCCCCTGAAAATCTACTAAATGCTTTGTCATACAGTTTCTTTTGGCTTTTCCACAGACGTCACCTCTGCTTTTTCTGGTCCATACAAATGAAAATTTAAACAGGTTTCTATTAGCATCTACAGATGTTTTGCATACAAGTTTAATGTATTTGTATAATATTGATATGATTTAAGTATTCAGAAGAAAATACTTTAAATTGCTAAAATTATGTGAGATATTAAAGTATCTCTATATTTCATGTGCTGCCTGTTAAGAATCCCATCAAAGCCCCAAATAAGTATCACGGATAAAATGCAGTTTTATTTTCCATAGATCCTAAATGGAAAATCTCTTATCAAAAACCATAGTCAGCAAACCACCAAACAAAAAATCTTAACAACCTCTGAGTACTATTTTCTGGGCTGTCACTTGCATTTGTATTTGCCAATATGGACCCCTCATGCGCAGAGGGATCCAATGCATGATTCACACAATCACTGCCACACATGCATGGTGGCGGGAATGATTATGGGATTGCAAAGTAGATCCCATCAACCTTATTTGTCGTGCAGGGGCAACCTGATTCCAGGCTTCTCTTGCACTGGCAAGAAGCAAGCTCCCACAGCTGGGAGCGCACTTAGCTGACGGGACTCCCAGCTGCAGGGGTGCCCCACACCCCTGTGGTTGGGAGATCACAGCAGCTGGTCTCCCAGCCATGGGGGTGTGTAGTGTGTAACTGGGAGACGGCAGCTGCTGACGTCTTCCAGCTAAGGGGGAGTCCCCATGGCTAGGAAATCTCAGCAGTTGCAGTCTACCAGCCGCGGGGGGTTCATGGAGTCCCCTGTGGCAGGAGCCCTGTCAGCTTTGAGCTCCCAGGCTTGGGAGTGCACTTACTGCCCCCCCCGCTCCAGTGGGGAGCTCCGATCAACTGATGCAGGCTCTCAGCTACAGGGGCCCCTATCCATACATTCATTTAATGGCATGATAGGAAGCAGCTACAAAGTTAATTCACATATTTTGTGGAATAACTTTGTAGTTTATTCTAGAAGCGTGCAAAATGGGCCATATTCAATTCAGATTTGGCCCTAATCGGGGACAGTGATTCAATTAGTTGATTTGGATCACTGTCCCTGATTCAATTTGGCTGAATCTGAAGATTTGATGCTGATTCAGAGAATCAGTAATTCGGCCGTAGAGACAGCTTTACATGTTTTTTCTACATACCTAAATGTACCAGATGCAGCTCGTGAACAGTGCGATGCTGGGGAAGATGGAGGGTCCCACAGGAGCATGGGTCTCTTGATTCGATTCAGATTTGGAGATTCAGCCACCAAATCAGGCCAAATCTCCACCCAATCAAATCAGGTACTGAAGCTTCGCACAGCCCTAGCTTATTCCTTTTTTTAATCACGCCTTTACGTGCTTGAACACGTGGCCAGGTGACCACTTAAGCTTAGTTAACTGGTTAATCGCATCTTTGGTATAATGTGGAGATAGGGTCTTGTATCCAATACAGCAAAAGCTGTGTTAACTGGCACTTTATTAGCCAGAAAACTCTATTAACCAGCATCCGAGGGACGCGGTGAAAGCGAAACCGGAAGTACCACTTCCAGGGGACTTCCCATTTTGCCACCGCGAGCTGAGTTTTTCTTTGCCACTTTTTGCGTGGGGCAAAGCAGCCTGCGCGGGGCCCCCCTCCCTGTCCCCCAGCACACTGACACCAGGGAGTGCACCAGATGGTGCACATTTGATTAACCGGCATCCCCCATTCCTGGGGGATGCCAGATAACAGAGCTTTTACTGTATTATCTTTTACAAAGAAACATCCTATTTGATCTTTGACATTACATGAGTGGAAGTGATGATTTTAGATCTCAGTTTGAAATCATTGCTGGAATTTTATTATTAAAAATACATGCTTTTCATGCCATCATTGAGCATTAATCTTGTGCAACTAATATGACCCTTAAAGGCAAGGATTTCTTTCAATATCCTTTATTGAACTAACTGTGCAGTTGGGATGCAGTTACAAGCTTTTGGATGCAAGGGACCTGATGAAGAATGTCTTTGAATGTATTTGAAAGTTTGTCTTAACTTTATCCCAGCTACATAGTTGGTCCAATAAAATATATCTCCCTAAGAAATCCATGCCTCTCGCACAGTTTCTTGACCATCGCTGCTATAAGATCACTCTTACTGCTACCCTATGATCTCTCCTATTCATTCAAAAGCACCCAGGCCATCATCTGCTATCCCTTATAATGTGGTATATGATTAGTGGTTAATAGGGCATATTGGAGAGATGGGCTAGGCTCTTCATTCTGTAACAGTTATGATTACTTTGTCCTCTGGTAAAATGTGGAGGCCAGCTAATGTATGTGATATATTGGTTTGTAGATGCTTGATAGAGCACGAGAAACATATATCTTTAATTGATAAAGGATAGAATTATCAGATTTGTTTTTGTGGTGCTTTTTATGTCATTAATCTAGTAGTAAATTGTCATTTTTTGTTTTTATTTATTTTCTAAATACTTGCAGTAGGACAATTGCTAGACATAGCTTAATCATGTAATGCTTAATTTTATGCATTATAGATAACTGAAAATAGTATGAATCTAGTTGGGCAGTATTTTAAATGGTAAAAACAAAACTTTTCTGAATGAGCGTAGATAATCTGAAAGTGTTTTTGTAGTGAATTAGTTTCCATTGAGGATTTTTTTTCATAGATGCATTCTTTAGGCTCACTCTCCACTTCCAAGAAATGCTCAAACATTGCGAGTCATCTAAAACTCTTTATTAATTTCACCCTTTAAATGTTGTGACTAAATCCTGATCTCTTTCATTGGCTAAATTTATATATGATCAAACATTATTTTATCTGTATGTCAAGTTATTTTAAGGAATAAGATTACATGTAGCTAATGGTGGGGTGCAGGATTAAAAGTCTTTCTGATACCTTAAAATACAGTTTTATGATTTGCCCAAAATTTCTAACAGCCTATATCATAAGACAAAATGGAACCAGTGACTAGATTTGTTTTTAATCTTAATTCTCAGTGAAGCACAGAATAATATTACCTCATTAGTTCTCAGCTTTCCTGACAAAGAACCCCTGTTCCATATTGTGTCACTTCCACCACCTTTTAAGGATCCTTTCTGAATAGCTGAGTTTATGGAGCCGTTGATGTGAGAGAGCAAGAATTTGCTGTCTCAGCCACTTAGATATTTATTTGCCAGGGTTAATTATTCTTGCTGTTTTCGTGAAAAAGATAAATTTGCAGGGAATGCTCCTTCATAATGAACGTGTCATTTCCTGTAAATTTCTTTTTCATAAAATACCTCTATCTCTCTTGACACCTTGCAGAGAGGCCAAGGCATGAACAAAAAAATGGCCTACCTAATTCAGTCAGAGTTGTTCTTGGGTATGATTTAGCTGGAGGCAAACAAGCTTAACTTGTTTAACTTGCAAGTGCCCATTCTGTTCTGTAGACAAATTACAGAGAATTTTGGCTCCTTCCCCTCCTCCCTCCCCCCCCAACACACACACACACACACTTGTAACAGCGCACAGAAATCTGCGGACAATATCTTCTTCATAGTTAAAGGTTGGAGCTAGTTCTTCATTAAAAGATTTCAAGCTGTGCAAGAGCAAATTTGGCCTAAAACGTTACATACAGAATCTTAGCCCAAGGAAAATTATTTTCCTACAAGTGTTTCATTTCACTGGGGATCATCATTTTGCTAACTGTAGTTAGGAGCTAGGGCATTCATCATATCTCTAAAACAGCGTGGCATAGGAATTCAAAACATATTTGATTAGTTAAATGTCAGACTTGAATCATCTCTCTTGACTTCTGGAGGGAAGATGTGCATGCACACCTAGTGAGTCAGCTCTTTTTTCACCTTCACAGGAGATGAAATAAAGGAGAATCCAGAAAGTTTGTGCTCTGAAAGCATCTAAACCCTCCCCTCTTGCAGAAGGGAAACAATACCTAGTACAAGAAAGGTCTGACCTTAGCCAACACTTGTATCTGGTTTCAGGCCTTTATTTCAGCTACTCCCATCACAACAGGAAAAAAATCTGGAACTCCATTATCACATAATTTCTCATCCAGATAAATCACTTTCTGCAGGTGTGGCCAAAGTTACCAATGAGATCCATTTGTCTCACTTCTCTCTCTCTCCTTGTTTTTCAGCTTGCTATGAAGCACAAATGTTGAGAAACTGCCTATCATAGAGATCTTTCCAAGAGAAACTGAAAAGCTAAGGTCAGCAACTTTTACAGGAGATCCAGACTTCCACCTGCTTTATCCTTCCAACTCGGTGAAGAACAGTTATTTCAGTTACCATGCAGGAAATGGTTAATTCCTACGGTTTTATGGTTATCTCACTAAGCAATGCTGCTGTACCTCCAAAGTTTTTTTTTTTGTTTTGTTACTTAAGCTGTAGTTGGTATTTTTAGAAACATGGAAATTGGACCAAATGGCAAGCTGGACAGGTTTAAGCTGACAACTCTTTATCACACAAGAAGAAGTATTACGTTGACTACAAGTGGTTTTACTGTATGGAAATAAAATCTAAGTAATGTTTACGTGAGCTTTTTCAGTTCCTGTAGAGCTAACAGAATTTGCAAGGTGGAATTATATCTTTGACCGTAGAATTCCAGTTGGAAAACAGACTGGTTTGCCATGGGAAACAACAGGCCTTATGATTTCCTCCACTGAGAGTAGGAGTTTTTGCATGTGCCATCACCAGCATTCAGAAGTGCAGATCTCAACTACAAGATGTGATCCTGCTATCCATGCTGCATTTCAAGTATTTCTTGTCTTAATTTTCAGATTGATTACTTTGATTGTATAAGGAAACCTAACGAACGTACATTTAAGATTTTCTGATCTAAGAAAAATCTGATTTTTAAATCTGCATGCGTGCACACACACGCGTGTGCACACATGTGCACTTTCTCTCTGTCATTGTGCCACTGGAATTTAGCAGTCCTGTGCTAAAATAAATTGATGGTTTCTTTTTAACTGTTTTTTCTTGATAAAAGCCTACATAAATGAAATGGTGCAAACATTTTCCAAGCTGCTAGGTTTTCAGACACTTTAGGTGGAAAATTTTGGGGCTGCAACATATGATCAGATTTCAACATATACAATTTTATTTTAACATATATACTTGTGTGGAAGAAATTGACTTTTGTGCAAGGTATTTCTGTGATTTAGAATAAGAGTTTTAAAATAGCATGTTACATCAACTGGTGTGTTACTGGTGTAATTCTTCTAATTTGAATAATAGTATTTTTAGCATGAAATGTCACTGAAAGAATATCTTTCTACTTCAGTTTCACTGACTAAAAATGTGCTTAATCTACTCTCTTCCTTCTCTATTCTATTCGGATATATTGGGAAATTCTTGAATTATTTACTTCTAGGATTAAAAAAGCCATTACAGAAGTTATACTTGATTTTTTCCAGGAAGATGCAAACAAAACCCAAGCCAAGCTTTCAAGCTTCGACTAAAGAGTCATGGAGTTTAAAATAAACACACTTCAGATTTTCTGTCCTCATCTACTGATATGGTGTAGTATGAGCAAACTGTAGTTTCCATTGTCATTGTAGAATAACATTTTGCGTTATTAATGACATTGTAAACAGCTTAGAATCTTCTAATAAAACAGTACAATGAAGACCGAGAATAAGTATATAGTAACTGAAAAGAAAAAATCTCTAGGAAATATCAGTGCTAAAAAAGAAACACACTAAATTAGGGGGAAAATAGTCAGCCTAGAGAAGTAATGTATTTACAACCAATTGCATTCAAATCTCACAATCACATATATAGAGCATTGTATTTTTTACAAGATTTTTAAATTTCATAATGGAAATTGCTTAGGGTTTAGCACCATAACATCACGTCAGAGACAGACAGTCTTCAGAACTACTAAGCCCCAGGCTGCCGGCTGGAAAAGAATTTGATCAGCCTTAAATTGCAAGCAAGAACAGGGTCATTAAAGACATGAGGCCCCAAGCACTTACTAGAGCCTCTTATGGTTAATGCTTGCCCTGAAAGAGTCTGTAGCTTCCCAGTGCAATGCTGTAAGAAAGAAGTCTGTAACTGCAAATTAGCAAGGAAAAGGCAGTTTCTTTTAAGAGATTAGATTTCTGCTGAGATGTTGAGAATTAAAACAAACAAACAAAAAGACAACATTGTAATCTAGTCCAGGTGTATTGTAAAGTTCTGACTGCCACGCAGATTTGTCTTAATCTTTTCCAAGCTTTCTAGTGGGGTTTTTCTTTCTGGTTTGTTTTTGTTTTGCTTTTTCACTATATCCTCAAGGAATCTGCTACAGATTCTGGGTAGTCAGTCTGGAGAGAGAATATTATATTAGTGAAAATTCAATAGTGAAGAACTGCAACCACAAAAGTGATTCTGCTGATGTAAAAGATACAGTAGGATTTGAATTGCTGCCATCTAACGTGTACTCAAAGGTTATAAATAATGTAGAAGGAATGGATAAAACCCTAATCAGATAAATGTGGAGAGAATTAGTTATGCAGGTTCAGATAACAGTGCATAAAGTTTGAGGGGACTCTGTATTCAAACATTAGTTAGATCAGCTCCCAGGAACACTGCTAAATTCCAAATCCTTTTTCATGGGTTGAGCTGTGTCATTTCTCTTCTCTTTTATATGTGTCATTAGTGCTGTTTTTCAGAAATATGCACCTATAGCTTTGGATTTAATTTTAATAGCCTATTAGTCATCGCAACTTGAGACTTCTTTTCTTTTTTCCAAACATCAGAAAACTGTGCTATGATAATTTCAAACATCTCAGCATTTTAAACAACAGAAGAGAGCTTTTCTTGTGTTCTGTTTCATTCCTCCTATTCAGTATGCTACTAGATATTGTGGCTTTTAGAAAGGTCTGAAGGAAGTATATTAACATTCCATCCTGAAGGTGAACTTTATAGCATTACAATTTCCTCCTGAAACTTAGCTGTGATATTCAACACTAGTATTATTAGATACTCATGTACAGTAATTCAGGTTTATGTTTCATATTAAAGAATGTATTTGTAAATTGTAATCAATAGTTTCCTTATTATAATACATTTTTAAAGTTCTGCAAAGAATAAAGATAATGTATTGTTAGACTTGAGACTATTGTACTGCAAAATTTGTCTTAAAAGGCTACTCTTGTGTGTAGCAGAAGTTGTTCATTCTTGTGAAAATATTAACAAAATGTGCTCTCTAAATGAATGATCTTAAAGGTAGGTTTGCTATAATATGCCAAACTTGTAATACTTGCTGGTATCTATTGTAACTAATTCCTCAGAAGTCCTCAAAGATGTAGAAATAATTTTGTGCCATTCTGAAAAAAGTGGGACCTGCTCTATTGATTGATTACCGCAACCCCAAATGATGTCATTAAACATTTTACCTGTGGCAAAAAACATTGTTTTCTGGATTATTTGGTGTGTTTTTCACTATACTCAAAAGAGATCAGTTTTCTCTTGAATAAAGGTGATCGTAGAATAATAGAAAATTAGGGTTGGAAGGGGACTCAGGAGGTCATCTAGTCTAACTCCTTGCTCAAAGTAGAATCATCCCCAGCTAGATCATTCCAGCCAGGGCTTTGTCAAGTCAGGCCTTAGAAACCTCCAGGAGAGTCCACCACCTCTCTAGGTAACCCATTCCAGCACTTCACGACTCTCCTAGTGAGAGTTTTTCTTAATACCCAACTTAAACTTCCCTTACTGGAACTTGAGACCATTGCTCCTTGTTCTGTCATGTGCCACCACTGAGAACAGTCTAGCTCCATCCTCTTTGTAACTACCCTTCAGGTAGGTGAAAGCTACTATCAAGTCCCCCTGTCCCCCCAAGTCTTCTCTTCCATGGGCTAAATAAGCCCAGTTCATTCAGCCTCTGCTTAGAAGTCATGTGCCCCAGCCCCTTAACCATTGTTGTTGTCTTCTGCTGGACTTTCTCAAACTTGTCCTCATCCTTTCTGTACTGGAGAGCCCAAAACTGGACACAGTACTCCATGAGAGGCTACGGGACCTGAACCTGTTCAGCCTTCACAAGAGAAGGCTGAGGGGGGACCTTGTGACCATCTATAAACTCACTAGGGGGGACCAGAAGGGTTTGGGGGAGACCTTGTTTCCCCTAGCGCCCCCCGGGATAACAAGGAATAACGGGTTGGAGAGTAGGTTTAGATTAGACATCCGTAAGAACTACTTCACAGTTAGGGTGTCTAGGATCTGGAACCAACTTCCAAGGGAAGTGGTGCTGGCTCCTACCCTGGGGATCTTTAAGAAGCGGCTTGATGCCTACCTGGCTGGGGTCATTTGAGCCCAGTTTTCCTCCTGCCCAGGCAGGGGGTTGGACTTGAAGATCTACAAGGTCCCTTCCGACCCTGCTTCTATGATTCTATGATATGTGGCCTCACCAATGCAGAAGAGAGGGGAATAATTACTTCCCTCAATCTGCTGGAAATGCTCCTACTAATGCAGTCCAGTATGCCATTAGCCTTCTTTGCAACAAAGGTTCATCTTCAGGTTATTGTCCACTTTAGGTCCTTTTGCAGAACTGCTGCTTAGTTAGTTGATCCCAAGCCTCTAGCAGTGCATGGGAATCTTCCATTCTAAGTGCAGGACTTTGCACTTGTCCTTGTTGAACCTCATGGCTGGATCTAGACATGCAGGCACATGTTTCCCTGAAGACAAACAGCAGCAGCACATATTGTGCCCAGAAAATGACCATGCACGCATGCTCTGGAGCTTGTCACATTACTCCAAGTGGGGTAAGGGAGGCTGGGGCCAGCATCTGGGCTGGCCTCAGCAGCCTTAACTGGGGTCCTGGGGGATTCCTGGGGTTCCAGCGGTGGTGATCCAGCATAGCTCTAGCTGGCCAGGCTCCAGTTTCAGGCGGTGCGCACTGCTGCCCACTGGATCTCCCAGTGTAAAAAAAAAAAAAAAAAAAAAGCATGGGGAATGCCTGCATGTGAGGCATGTGTGGTGTGCAGTGCCACAGATGGGTCTGCAGTGCCTTATAGCATACATGCTTGCTCATCTGGATGCGCCCCATGAGATTTCTTTTAGCCCAAACCTCCAATTTGGCTAGGTCACTGAATCCTAGCCCTATCTTCCAGCATATCTACTACTCCCCCCAGCTTTGTGTCATAACTGGCCCCAGGACCAACCCCTGAGGCACTCCACTTGAGACATGCTTCCAACTAGATCTTGAGCCATTGATCACTACCTGTTGAGCCTAACAATCTAGCCAGCTTTCTATCCACCACACAGTCCATTCATCCAACCCATGTTTCCTCAGCTTACTTGCAAGAATGCTATGGGAGACCATAACAAAAGCCTTGCTAAAGTCAGGGTATATCATGTCCACTGCTTTCCCCACCTGCACAGAGCCAGTCATCTCATCATAGAAGGCAGTCAGGTTGGTCAGGCTTGACTTGCCCTTGGTGGATCCACTCTGACCACTTTCTTCTCCAAGTGCTTAGAAATGAATTACTTGAGAACCTGCTCCATGATTTTTCCAGGGACTGAAGTGGGGCTGACTGGTCTGTAGTTCCTTCAATCCTTTTTCTTCCCTTTCTTAAAGACAGGCACTATCTTTGCCCTTTTCCAATTGTCTGAAACCTCTCCTGATTGCCATGGGTTTTCAAAGATAATGGCCAGTGGCTCTGCAATCACATCAGCCAGCTCCCTCAACACCCTCAGATGCATTGCATCTGGCCCCATGGACTTGTACATGTCCAACTTTTCTAAATAGTCCCTAGTCTCCTTTTCCCCTCACACTGGCCTCCCAGGGGATCCTGCCCCAGTTCCCTTAGGCAGAAAGTCTGCTTTTCTGAAACCTAGGGTCCAGGCTCTGCTGCTCTCCTTTCTTCCTTTTGTCAGGATCCTGAACTCGATCATCTCATGATCACTGCTGCCCAAATTGCCATCCACTTCTACATCCCCCACCAATTCTTCCCTGTTTGTGATCAGTAGATCAAGAAGAGCACAGCCCCTCATTGGTCTCTCCAAGACTTGCACTAAGAAGTTGTCCCCACACTCTCCAGAAACTTTCTGGATTTCCTGTACAGTACTGTATTGCCTTCCCAGCAGATGTCAGGGTGTTTGAAGTTCCCCATGAGAGCCACAGCCTGTGAATGGGAAACTTCCTCTAGTTCTCTGAAGAAAGCCTCATCTACTTCATCCTCCTGGTCTGGTGGTCTGTAGCAGACACCCACCAGAAAATCACCCTTATTGCTCTCCTCTCTAACCTTAACCCAGAGACTTCCAACAGGGTCATCTCCAGTTTCATACTGGAGCTCTGAGCAATCGTACAGCTTTTACATACAGTGCAACTCCTCCTTCTTCCCCTGCCTGTATAGCTTGTACCCATCCATGATAGTGCTTCAGTTATGCGAGATATCTCACCAAGTCTCTCTTATTCCAATCACATCATAGTTACTTGATTGTACAAGGACTTTCAAGTCTTCCTGCTTGTTTCCCAGGTTCATGTACAAAGACCTGAGGTAACTAGCTGATTACCCTTTCTTAATAAGAGTGAGAAGGCCTTCCCTGTTGCTCTGCTTCCTCCAAGTCTCCCACTTCCCCACTTACCTCAGGTCTTTGGTCTCCATCCCCCAGTGAACCTAGTTTAAAGCCATCCTCACTAGGTTAGCAACCCTGTCTACCAAGATGCTCTTCCCTCTCTTCCTAGCAATCCTTCTTCTTGGAATAACATTGCATGGTTGAAGAAGCCAAATCCCTGCTGGCGAAACCATCTTTGCAGCCATGTATTGATGTGCAGGATGCATCCACTCCTGTCTCTTAACCGGAAAGATCAAGGAGGAACACCACCTGTGCTCCCATCTACACCCTTGTACCTTTAATGTCTAAGTGAAACAGCAGTAAAAGAATAAAGGATATTTATGCCCAGTGAAGTGTATGAATTTATAGTCAAATTGTGCTCTTAGGCACGTTAACAGAAACTTAAATTTGTTTTCTTGCTCCCTTTGCTGCAGAACTTTTTTCCTCAAACTGCAGTGTGTTTCTCTTATTCACTTGAGTGATTGCTAGACCTTAAGCAAAATAATACTTTCAGATTTACATTCTTTTTATAAAATAAAACTCCAACGGCCAGATGCTAATATGGTTACATTGAGTTCTTTGTCATTCCATTCATTTCAGTGAGGACACTAGAGGCACAAGGCATTGATCGATCTGTAGAATTTACATCCCCTTTTATTAACGTTGAAGGGGGCAGTGGCCAAACAGTCCATGTGTCTTCTTACATATCCAGAAACAAGAATTTGAACCTTGTTCCACATTCCTGCCCAGTGCCCGCAACCTACTGGCCTAGGTTTAAATATACAAATGGGACATTTTGGCTGTTAAAGGTGTTAACACCTTTACAGAGTTAAAGGTGACAATAGATGTTAGCCACGTCACTTCCTTGTGTACCATTGGCTACCCCAATGGGCCATTAGGCTTTTTGTAGATCTTTGACTTGATCTGTATAGCTTTTCCCACTTTAAATGTTGGCCAGTAACAAGATAAAGCCATCCCATCAAAAATGTCCTGATTTTCAAGTACATGTTGACAAATAAGTTGCAGCAGTCTAGCCACTAGCTTTGCTATGCCATTTGCAAGGTCTGAATGATATTGCCAGTAAGAATGTGCCACGTATAATGTCCAAAAAAAATTTACAGCTGCTTCCAGCAGAAATAGATTGCTGCTAGCTATCCAAAATGGTTAAAAGAAGTTTAACATTGATGGCATCACATCATTCTTGTACTATGCTATGTTAATTTGGCTATACTTTGGCTGTCATATACATCTCTACTATCCCTAGCTTTATATTTCTGCTGCTGGAAAAAATCTGTAGATGCTTTCATTACTTTGTGATGCACCCTATGCATTTTGGGAAGCATTTTAAATTAAATCAATCCTGCTTGTGGATTATCTGAGTCTTAAAATGTTTGCAAAAGAATATTTTTAATTAGTCATAATGGAAAATCTTCTGATAACTATGTACTGTGGAGAAAAAAAACTGTTTTGTGGTTTTGTTTTTTTTGTTTGTTTTTTAATAGTGCATGGGATGAGGTGTATGAAACTCAAGAATGTACAATGACAAGTACTTTTGTTGGTTTCATAACACAGATTTTGACTACATAATAAACAATGGATTTTTCTGTCCTAGTTAATAGTTGAAGGATGTCTTCACTGCAGCTGTATAAGGAAAATGTACAGCCTTTGACTAAGAAACTAACTGAAACAAAGATGCCATCTAATATCACATGTGGCTGAATTAAATACATTGGTACTTTGGATGTGACTGGTGTATAGCATAAGGAAACTATTAAAAATATCGGTTCTCTGCCATTCAGTAGGTGTTGTTATTCACTTTTAGTATATTTATCATAAGAATAGATAGAA